AAGAGAATAAAAGTTTGCTTTTTAACAACTTCATTCAACAGGAAAGTATTTTTCTTGAAAAATGTGGATGTCCTCCATAAACCATAATTGCATATATGTAGCATAAATATTGTTTTTTTATTGGATTTGTTGCAGAAGTAAAGCCCTCTTTTGTTTAAATGGACTTGCTTTTGAACTGTGAAAATTTAATCGTGATAGTTTATTGGTTCAGCTCTGGAGAAGCTGAGGCATAGATATTTTGCTCCAGCCAGAGCTATTTTTATCCCATCACTGAGAGCTCCTTTTTATATTATTGGTGTTATTGCGTACTAAAAAAGGAGTGTTAAAAGAAAACTTAGGATTTTTTTTAATTCTGTGCCCTTATTCACCACAATGATATTTTTAGAGGTTATTTCATCTAGCTATATCTCTTCCAAAGAGGCTTTATCTTTTTCACAGTAAAAGCAGACAAGAACTCAGCTTGAAGCCATTCCTTCTCAAGCCTCCTTTTTTGAAGGGTGAAAGGATCTGAGAGTGGACTGTGTGTGTGAACTGAACCTGTTTGCCCTTAGCCCCTTCCTGATCAACACATCTGCTATGTTCAGGGGAGAAGTGACCAGGAAGTTTAACTGAAGAGGCCTTTAAGAAAAGGGATGAAAATTGCAGAAACTGTTTTTTTGAGTTGCTCTATGCAAAAGAATGATCAGTCTTAGACGTTCATCCCTGCTTCAGGTTTGGTTCCAGAGAAGACCATTATTCTGCTTAGCTGTACTTTTTAGAAGAGTGCTTTGCTGAACAGGACAGGCAGGTAATTGTTCATTATTGCAAATATCTACTGATTTGGAGAAGAGAATATCTGCAGAAAAGGAATGACAAAATGGCTGCTTCAGTGACTGGAATTTGCTGAAACTTGGAGAACGTTAGACGTACAACTCAAACAATGTCCTGTAATAAAGTTAAGTTTGAAAACTTTGTAGATTTGTAGCCCTAAAGGTAGAGTAGTTGTATCCCAACGAAAGTGTCAGGTTTCAGGCCTGGATATGAAGCATCAATAGAAACGTTCGAAAGCTTTAGCCTGTGCTGCATGGAGTATGTCTGGACGCTGTGGCCTGGCCATAGTCATAGATAGCAGCATCCCACATTTAGTATGTTTATCTTCACTTAGGAACATCCGTATGAGTGGATATGTACCTCCAGTCCATTGTCTGTCCATCCTTACATGTTATCATTGAAATACCAGATTACTTGTTGTGTTTCCTTTTTGATTTATTACCCACCTTATGGGGCATATTGTAATGATATGTGAAGTTCTCTTTCATCCTGTAACATAAAATAGTTATTTCGAAAGACATGGTTACCTAAGACCCTTTAAAATTTAGTGAATTATGTACATCTTTGGGTTATGGGAACAGATAAGCTAGATGTTGGGCTTCACAACTGCAAATCAATTTGCAAAAGGCTATACGAAAGATAATGCTTAATGTAATTCAACTTCTCTTCCATTAACATCTTGAGTTATGGTGTAAAGTTCTGTATTTTTATTCTAGAAATGTAGCTGACTTTAGCATTCAGGTGTACAGTTCAGCTTATCTCTGGTGAGGAATCTTTTAAAATTAAGTTAAATACAGCACAAAACACATAGAAAATCAATAATATTTCATTTCTTTTAAGTAAGATCTTTTCTATATACATTTGTTTGGAGTGCTTATAAATTTCTCCCTTTACAGGAGTATTTTATAATAAATGTCAGTTATAGATTTAACTGTTGGAAAAAAATAGTGCAGGTTTTGAAATACCTTTAATATATCAGATAAAAAACTGCTTAGCTAAGTATCAGTGTAGGAAATAGTGGTACAGTCTCTTAAATGATATTTTTAAAGTGTAGTGATATTAATGGGAGAGCATTTAGGACCTTAATATGTGAAATACTGTAGGACCCAGTACATTGTGCTTTAAGATATTTTAAGCTGCTTTGCTTATTGGATTGCTTGTCATAACCCTTTATACAGAGTGGAGATAATAAAAACATTTGCAGATGGATGTGAACTTGACTCACAAATATATTCTTTTTTGTTTAATTACTCCCATACTAGTAATATGTGATTTAGTTACTTTAGCATTACATTTATAGTCTGAAGATTTTTATTCTAATATTAGCTACCATTCCAGTGGTATTAGCAAGTGATTGATAGAACTGGTTAGAATTAATTTGTTAAGGTATTAGAAATTGAACATTGGAAAAATCTGTTTTTTAATAGCCATGTATGCATTAGTGAATTTAAAAGCACCCTCTAAGGGTGTTATTAAGGAACCGTTTCCTTTTTTTTTTTTAAAGAAATAGCTAAGTACAAATTAAGGAGAAATTAACTACTCTTTTCAGGTTCCTTTTATTCTACAAGTATGATCGCATTGGTGATTATTGTGGGAGCCATACTGGAGAGAATAATATTTTAAATTTGGCCCTCATAATTGAAATAAGTTTTTTGTTGTTAGTGTTAGGGCGCAGAATGTGGGAGTCTGTAAAATGCATTTCCTGGCTCTCAGATTTGTTTCTGCTTATGGGAGGTTAATGAATTTGAGAATAAGAGAGAATTAGATGCCCATTAAGACTTTAATGTATAATATTATGAAGAATCAGCAGTTAACAACTAAATTAAAATATATGACTTCTTTTTTTTCTTTTTTAAACAACACTAAACATTTTTAAAGTTTTATTTTTAATGTTTTTGGCCTGTGGGATCTTAGTTCCCCAGCCAGGGATTGAACTCAGACCCTTGGCAGTGAAAGCACCAAGTCCTAACCACTGGACCTCCAGGGGAATTCCCAACACTGAACATTATGTTAGTGACCTAGTTACTTTATAGTAGATGGAAATACATAAATGAAAACCCAGGAATTTTGCTCTTCGTTAACACTGGCATGGTACTAAAATATTATGAATTATTCTTGTAGGACAAACTCTTGATTTTTAAATTTCACTTGATTTTCTTATAATTTCACCTAGTGAAGTGAACATCAGAATATTAATTTAAGACAGAGGGGCCAGGAAATCTTTATATGTCTAAGAAAAGATGCCTACTCTCTTTTCTGTTACTGCAAATGGTGATAACATATGTCTCCTAAAGTATTTCTGTACACTTTTTTTTTTAATGACAGAAGAGAAAGACTTATTAAATATAACAATATGTTTACTTATAACTTCATTTGGTATGACAAACGTGGGTGTTAACTTTTTGAATATAAAAAGAATCAGTATATTTTAGTGATCTAAGATTTCATAATTCTGGCTTGCTGAGAATTGATCTTAAAAGATACTAAAAATTTAAGAATGACTATTAAAGTTTTTTTAGGTCAGAATATAAAATATACTGTGTTGACAAGGATAAAAATGCTTGTGGTCTTAAGGAGACTCATTCATAATTCATAAACCTGGTAGGAATTTTCCTGTTCTTTTAATCCTTACCTAACAAAAGACAGAGTTAGTCATCTACTATGTGCTTTAGACATGAAAAAGCTACTCTGGGTCCCAGTGTGGGCTCAGACTCGCCAATCCTTACCTTAGAGAAAACTGAAGCCGCTTATGTGGTCTTTGAAGTTCAATTATGATTTCCTCCTGTCCCCACTTAGGCACTCTGTTGGCCCTTGGCTCTTTGGTACATCGTTAAAGTTTATATGTCTTGACTATGGCTGGAGGAAGTCATTGCAAATGGGTTTGTTCAGCTGCAGACTTACTGGGGCAGATATTCATTTCAACACTTTTTAAAGTCCTTACTAGGAGAAGAAAAAATAATTTTAGGTCAAACAGTTCCCAACTTAGTATTATTTGTAGCTTCATTAAATTCTCAAATGCACCCGTGCACATGAGATTTTGTACTTGTAAAATAATATGTATTTTTATTTTTTACTACTAGATATACATTACTTTTCAGTATGGGATCAAGAATACAGTTTTAGTTGTTAGCTGCTATATTTTTTTAATTGAGTTAAAAGGGAATTGTTAATTTTAAGTTTATAATATTTAAAGGAAATTAATATTTAAACTGTCTCTTCCCAGTTCACTTACATACTAAAATCTTAGCATGTTTTTCTTGGTGTTGGGAAAACAGTGGTGAAAAAGGTAAGGAGTCCTAGCTTTCCATTCTAGTGGGTAGTCATAGGCAGTATTTATTTGAGCACATAAAAGAGATAACTTCAGACTGTGAGAAAAGAGATAACTTCAGACTGTGAGAAGTATAGTGATGGAACCAAAATAGACAGTGGTGTTGGAGGGAGAGTAGGAGTTGGAGGTAGGCAGGGTTGACAGTTACTTTAATAGGGAAGAGATACAGGAAGGTCTCCTTAGATTGTGACAAAAGGGACCACTCATGGAATGATCTGGGAGAAGAGCGTTCCCAGTCCTGGAGGAGCAGGGATCGGAAAAGGAGGCTGATGTGCCTGGCACATAGTAAGTGGAGGGAATGGTTGTTGCTGAGTTGGGCATGTTGGCTCAGCTGGATCTTGCGGGGCCTTATAGATGAAGAGTTTTTTAATTTTATTTTATTTTATTTTATTTTATTTTATTTAATACTTACAGGAGGAAGTTGGGAGGAATATGATCTGATTTATGTTTTTGAAAGACCACTCTGGCCTTGGTCTGAAGAACAGATTGTAGAGGGGTGGGAAAGTAGGCAGAGAAGTCAGTTAGAATCTATTGCTGTGATCCAGGGGAGAGGTTGGTGGCTGCTTGGACTAGAGTGGTAACCCTGGAGGTTCTAAAAAGAGGATGGATTTCTGATAGATATGTAATAGCCCCTGAGCAGGAAATGTTCTGGTTCTTTACCTTTAAATTCTGTGGTTTCAGATCATTCTGGCAGCTCTGAATCTTACTATATTGTGGCAAAGGAAAGAATTGTTCCTAGGGCACATGGATGAGTTAACATACAGCATAGACTATACACCAGTCAGATTTGTTTTACTCAGTGGGAGGAGTTGCAGTGAGTGTTTATTTGATTTTCTGTAAGTGTAACATTTTGTTGTTGCAGGAAATGTTTTCCTATTTGTCCAACCAACTAAAGAAACTGTCAGAAGCTTACAATGAAAGACTGTTGCATACACCTCACAATCCCATATCTTTAGGTAATTATTTTTCTTTTTTAAAACATTAGTACTTCTGAACCATTTCCACTGGGAAGCTGGTTTTTCTTGAAAGAGTATGAATTCGTCCTTGTTACAGTGATGTTTCTGATTTCATTACAGCACTAATTTGTAAATTTTAAAAATGTAGTTAGTCTTTTTAAATATTTTAATATAGTCTTTTAAAATACTTTAATATATTTCAAAGGTAAAAATCTATGTGCTGAAAGAATTCATATCTGTATTGTGTTACAGTGAATATATGGAAAAAATACTTTCACCTCTTGCTTCTTACCAGAATAATTTGGTCAATAATAAGGAATCTATATAACTATTTAAAAATTTCTACCAGTTAAAAAAACACCATAACATTGGATATTAAAGTTACAATGTTATTATTGTTAGTTTTCCTGAGTATGCCTATGTTAGAGATATCAGTGTTTATGATGATTTAATATTGTCATTATAGTACAGAAGCTACTAAACAGGGTAATATGAATGTTGACTTTTTATGCATTTAACTAACATTTAAGCTTCATAATTACCTCTTTTAATTTATGAATATATGTAGTATAATATGGTTCATATTTTTGTATATCTGAGGAAAGTAAGGAAATTAGTAATTTGTAGTTGAAGCCTTTTCCAGGAATGAACTTCCTTGGAAAACCATTTGGCCATTGATAGATAATAAATCACCCCAGTCAGTCCTCTCTGTTGGTTTAAAATCTAGGTAGATGTTATAGAAGGTGACATGGTGTGATCTGAATTCCAGTTCTGCCATGTAGTAGCCTCTAACTCTTTTGCCTGTCTGTAAGTAGAGATAATGATCCCTCACATGCAGAGTTAAGAGTGGTTAAGATTGTAATTGTCAGGTATCTAGTATGGTAAGTCACACTATTCATGTCATTGTTCCGTGCATTTAATTGGAATATTCACTCTTTGGAAGGGTTATATGGAAATTCTTTTCTGATTCTGAGTATGTTAGCTTGTTTTACAATATTTTTCTTTGATATGCAAGAAAATCCTTACTATAATTTATTAAGTGCATTAAGGTGAAATGGCCCCATGAGACAATGAATAAAAAGTGCTATCTCCATGAAATAAGCCAGTTGCAAAAAGATAAATGCCATATGATTCCATGTATGTGAGGTACTCACGAGTATTCAAAATCACAACAGAAAGTGTAATGCTGGTTGCCAGGATGGGGGAGAATGGAGAATTACAGTTTAATAGGTATAGAGTGTCAGTTTTAAGATAAAAAGAGTTATGGAGATGAATGGTATGATGGTTGTATAACAATGTTTGAGGTATTTAATACCACTGAAATATATACTTAAAAACTGGGTAAGATGGTAAGTTTTATGCTTTGTGTTTATTAACACAATAAAAAAAAGTAATGTCTTCATGATTATTTGTTTCTTGAGTGGTTTCGTGCTGGTGAATCAAGGCTCCCTGGAATACTGTTTTCTTTTTCAGCGATGACACTTAAAACCCTGGATAAACGGTGCAGCAAAGCTGTCACTCAGCTTGGCTCCATGCTTTTTACAAGACAGGTTTCTGGAGCCAGGTGAGTATGTTTAAAAGGGGATTGGTTTTATTTTGTGTTACAAAGTTAATGAAGTACACTTCCTTACCAGTAAATCCCCCAAGTATATGGTGAGCTGTACCTGAGGTTTCATCATGTAGGAAAATAGTGATGAGGTAGAGAATCTGTGAGGGTGTTATGCATCCACCTGTAGCATGTGAAGCAGTCACAAAGGGATATGAATCTTGTTTAATAGATACACAAAAACAAAGTTCATTACCCCCTGTACAAATTTTTGTATTTATTTTCCTTTGTTAGATAATCTTCACATTATGATGTTAGAAATAAGTTAGCTTCATTCCTAAGTTTAAGTGAAAATGTTTTTAAGGAAAGTCCATTTCCTAAACTGAAAGCACCTATGCAATTCTTGTCTTGCCTTTGAAAAATGTCTTTTTTGCTTTTATAGCTTAAGATGAATTTCATTTTTCATTTTATATTTGATGAGGTCAGAGAAAGATGACTTGAAGTATCTTGCTCTAAGTACTCTTCTTTACATGCTTCTACTAAAGAATTTCTCTCTGACTACCAGAGGTCAGAGATTTCACATCAAAGAACAACTTTTTAAAAGGAAAAAATCTTAGGTTACTTAACCTTTTTACCTTGATGAGCTGTGTCTGTATGCAGCATAGTTCTGACACTTATAAAATGGTTTTCTTGGCCTTGCTTTTTAGTGTTGCCACTATTTGTCTTTATGTTTAGGTTGATCTTAATTGGCTACTTTTTTAAAAAAGTACCATTAGAAATCTGCTTATATCAAGTATGCCAGTGAACTCAAGCTTTAAAAATGCATGTGCCATTGCTGAATATTGGTAGTTGCTGACCATCAATCTACTGTAAGCAATTATGCGATTTCTTCTGGAGCCTTGCTTTAAAACCTTCCATGCATAATATGATCAGATAGGTGTAATTTTAGTCTATTGATTACTTGAGGATATACATGGCAGTTAATCAAAGTGGTTTGATTTAAAAACTTAAATATTCCATTGAAGTGTGTATATGTGAAGTGTCAGATTTCCATTTTTGGTACAAAAACAGAAATAGTTTTCTTTCTACCTTTTTGAAGATGTGAAGGTGTTTTTGATTACTAGAGCTTGTAGCTCTTTAATAGAAGATACGTTAATGGTAAGCATCAGATAGTACCTTCCTGTGTGAAGTGCATTGTATCATGTAATTTTAAGGCTGACAGTCTATTTTCATAGGCTATGATCTATGGCTGTTTTTAAACTTCTTAGAAAGAAAAGTGGATGTAAGGCTTAGTAACACAGCTTACTTTTGTTTATGAGTGATACTCTGTTAACATCACCAAACATATTAAATTGGTAAATCTTTTCCTTTGCAGGGTTGTTCCTCTTGGGTCTATGCAGACTGTGAGTGGCTATACTTTCAGGGGCTTTATGTCACATACAAATAATTACCCTTGTGCTTACCTCAATGCTGCGTCAGCCATCGGAATGAAGACACAGGATGTGGACTTGTTCATAAAGAGACTTGACAAGTGTTTAAAGACAGTCAGAAAAGAACAAAATAAAGAGAGTGACATATCTGGAGTTGACAATAATGACAAAACTGAAGATGTGGATATAGAAGAAATGGCTTTAAAACTAGATAATGTATGTCTTGACACATGCCAGGATTCTTCTTGATGACATGTGAAGGGTTTCTTTTTGATAATTTGAAAAAAGTGAGGAGGCTACAGTATAAGCTAGCAGTTTAAAGACAAAACGTAAGATTTTTGAATTGAGGATTTCATGGAGAATATTTGGTCAAGGAATAGAATATGGTCTGAGCTAGCCATTGATGATTATAACATTTGTTGTTTCTAGACTGCTTCAATCATTACCATCCTCAACAGGTCATAATGTACAATTAACATTTTTCTAATTGTTAAACATTTGCCAATTAAGCATTATGATTCAGATAATTCTTACTAATATGTTGATAGTAAAATTACACATGACCTCTGATTCTCTTTGAAATGTGTAGACTGCGTTCCTCTGACCATTCTCTTATCATTCACAAATTACTTAGTTTCTGACCACACAGAATTTAGAAAGATCACTAATGCTACTATTTAGTAGATGTTTGTCGATGTGTGTAAGTCACGGTATGCCTGTAAAATGGATATTTCCCAGGAAAGCAGAGTCAACGTGTAAGCTTTAATTTTCACTCAATAGAAATGCATCTCAACTTCAGGATGATTTGCTTATATCTAAGAAACATCTGGGGATCTTTTTGATTGTCAAAACTAGCAGAATACTATTATTGATATCCAGTTAGTGGAGGCCAGGCGTGCAGTTCAGCATCCTACAATGGGCAAGACAACTTCCCAAAACAAAGATTTATCCAGCCCCAAACCTCACTAGAGCTGTGGTTGAGAAACACTGCTCTAAATTCTCTCATAGCTCAGTTGGTAAAGAATCTGCCTGTGACGCAGGAGACCCAGATTCGATTCCTGGATGGGCAAGATCCCCTGGAGAAGGAAATGGCAACCCACTCCAATATTCTCTCGGAGAATCCCATGGGCGGAGGAGCCTGGCAGGCTGTAGTCCATGGGGTTGCAAGAGTTGGACGTGACTTAGTGACTAAACCACAACCAAAGTAAGAGAACTCCTAAGTAAAGAGAAGTTTTCCATAGCAACTTTACTCATTCACTAGTAACTTAATAGAAAGTAGCTCTGTAAATGTTAATGAACTACACAGTATGCAGATTCTTAACTGACGACTGAGGTTACCTCTTCTAAGTATGTAATTATAAATTGTTAATACGGCATATGTGCATTTTTCCATTTGGGAAAGTGAAAACTATTTCAATGTTTTTTGCCTCAAGCAGTCTTGGTTAGCTTGTTCAGGTGTTTTGTACAGCCATCATCAAGAGTGGTTAACATGGGGATTCTGAACATATTTTTGCTGGGGAGGTGAAAATGATGGAGTATGATGAACAGGTGTATTCCCTACCCATTGCCCATATGCTTCCTTTCTGAGTCTGAAATTCTAGACTTACTGGCTATATCTGTTATTTTTGGTGTTAATTTTAAGACTGATAGCCTAAGGAATTAGTGAAGCTCCTGAATGCATTGAAGTTTCAAAACAGTATTTCTTAAGACTTGCCCTGTGGAGCATTTATTCCTAAGAGATGCTCAAGGGTATGAAAGGTTCCATGAGCAAATAAGTTGGGAACTTTGCAAACCTTCCTATTGGCATATTAAAGGCTCTAAGAACCCCTTCTATTTGAGTTTGAATATATCCTTATCTAAAGATGGAACCTGTTTTTTAAATTAAATATTTACTGGCATCCCATTGAGTGTATTTTTGAAAACACTACACTCGAGAATGCCACTTTTCTTTCTGGATTGTGTTTTTCCCCATTGGTTTGGTATTATAAACTGTTAAATGAGCCCAGATTACTGCCCCTCCCACTGGTAAATTAGAATATTTTATTGCCAACTTTGGAAGTCCACTGTTGAGATAAGTACTTAGTTACAACTATCGTAGAAGGTTGCTTTGAAATTTTTGTATCTATGGGGTTCAGATATTTGAAGTGTCTAGGTTCTTCAAATACTTCTTTCAAAGGAGTAAATCCTGGATTAAAAAGTTGTGTAATGTTTTTAACGTGAATTTGGGACTGAATCGAAGAACTAGTAAAGATGAAGAGTTGCTATAGACCCTCTCAGTCTGTGAAAGGAAATGAAGTGATGTTGTGGCTGTAGATGCTGGTGTTGCAGTATACTGTCCACATAAGCCAAGATCATTTCATAGAACAAGTGATCTATTTTATGTGATCATCATTTAACTTAAGAAAGGCCAGAGTCGAGAGACCCGCAAATGTTTTCTCATCTGTGGTGTATCAGCAGTTCTGGGGCTACAGCTGCTGAATAGATAATAATTCTAATTGAAAATAATTTACACCAACCCACATGTGAATGATAGATACAACATTTCATTCCTGGTGCATAAAATCAGCTGCAGCTTTTACTATTAGCCTTTTCTTTTCAGAGATTTTAGAATTCCAACTCTATTCCTGCTGGTTTCAATTTGACCTTGAGGTTGTAGAAGTCATGAATTTTTGAAGAGATATTACAGGTTCTGCACATTTAGGCTTTCCTTTGCCCCCTCGCCAGTGTCCTTTGACTTGCTATTTCTCCTTTCCGTGTACATACAAGTTATTTATTTTAATCTCCTAGTAATGATTGGTAAGCCTCATAATTGGCTTTAGTTATCGTCTCACTGGGGCAAAGGGCCGACTGATGATATCTTTTGCAATCAGGGGCTAAGATGATCTCTTCTGTCTTTGTGATCCAGCTGCCCTTATTAAGACTATCAGGTAGAATTTTTGAGTTTAGTTTTTGAAGTCATTGGGCTATGTGGTAGTCTGCCCAGAAAAGAAAATTGAATAACATGAAATATTCTTTAGGTCACTACACCCAATGTGTTACTTATTATACACAGAGCAGGAAAGAGTATTTTCAATCCAGTTCTCAATTTGGCTCTTAAGTTCTCTGCTGACAAATTCTCCCTCTATCAGGGAATGATATGTGATACTAGCCTTAGGAACTCTGTGTTCAACTATAAATGTTTTTATTTAGCTTTTTGCATTAGTTGATGAGTTGATCAAATGTGAATTATTGAATACAGTTATGTTCCGTCACTGGGCACTTGATATACAGAATGATAACTTTAAATATAAATTGAGTTTTTTCCCTGATATTTTGCCCTAGCACATACCTCTGTTGTAGTTCTGTTTCTTTAAGCACTATAGTAAGTACTATCATGAGGTCTAAGCTATAGTATGTGCCTTTGGTTTTAGACTAGACAGCCATGGTAGGTCTTAGTAAAACTAAACAGAGATAATTTGTTCAACCAGTGATATTACTTTAATATTGAATTAGTAGCTCATCCTAAGTTATATTCTTGTCTTCTTTCGTAGAGGAAAAATCCAACAACTGACAGGTATGGCAAACCCTGATGAGTCCCATTCAGGGAAACTGTTTTGAATACACACACATTTGGTGCATATAGAATTGGGCTTTCTTTCCCCGCTGTCTGAAATGTGTTCATTTCTGCCAAGCCCTGCATTGCTTTTGTGCTTTGCATTCATGAGGCTAATCTCTTTTTGAAACTAAGTTTGTGTACGTAGAAGTTTAATTATTTCAGAGGCTTGATACCTTCTGGATAATTTGATGAAACAACTGAATATGCTGTTAACATCTTTTTTAAGTTGCTGTAAGTGGTTTTTTCTTGTCTGTCACATTGTGTTGATTATTGGTCTGTCACGGCAACTCAGTATACAGGTCTCAGATGTGCCCGCTGTGTTCTTCTGTGCCTTTCTTTTTATTTTCATGCTCTTCTTGGTCATTATGGTGTGTACACATGTAAGATGATGAGTTCAAGGCTAATGACTATATCTTTATAATTTTCCACCTAATATTTTAAAGTTCAATCTAAGGCCTTAAGCAAAATCTGAAATATTTATATGGTCTTATTTTTATGAAGTGATATTGGTGTCAACTTGAACTTTTAGAGAACTGTGAAGAAAGGCTGTGTTTAAATGTATAATTGTGAGGGATTTTAGCTACTAGAATTGAAGCCTGCTAACTTATATGTTTTACTAAAAGAGAAAGACATTTCCAAAAATATTTTTGGTGTAGACTATTTAAAAATAAGACTGAATTGTATAATTTATTATGAAATAAATTTTTAATAAATCATGGCAGTGCATTACATTATTTTACCTAATCATTGCTACAGATAAAATCTGAAAGTGCAGATAACTAACATTAAATTACTTGCACATGTTTTCATTTAGTCATCAGTATTAACTTGCCCAGAAATCAGCAAGGAAAGTCATACTTTGTAATGAGACTCATGATTCACGGGGATGGAGGCTAGATTATTTTTTTTAAAAAAAGAGGAAGGAGAAGAGAATCTTCTAGCAGCCATTTCACAAAGCTCTGTTGACTGTAGAACATTGGAGGCTTAGAAGTATTTTAAAAAGAAACATGTTAATTAAAAATAAAATGGTAGTACTTTCTTCTTCAGCCGACTTCATTTTTAAATTGTACTGTTCGATTTTTGCAGGTTCTCATTTGATTTTTAATTAAATCTTTGCACTGGTACTTATTAGCCCATGTGAATTCACATTTAACCTCTCTGAATCCACATTTAACCTCTCTGAATCTCAGTCTCATCCTATGTTAAGTGGGTACAATCCTTTAGGATTGAGGGTTTAATGAGATATAAAGTGATTAACTTGATACTTGAAACATAGCACTTGCTGTTAATAACTGCTATGATAGTCTGCATAAAGCTATAATGTACCAGTTTTTACTAGATTTAAATTAAATTTTAAAAATTAAATGAAAATCTATTTCTAAGCTTATTAGGTGGATTTTTTTTTTCCCAGCCACAACATGTGGCTTGTGGGATCTTAGTTCCCTGATCAGAGAAACCTTGGCCATAGCAGTGAAAACACCAAGTCCTAAACATAGGAACCCACCAGGGAATTCCCAGCAGAATTATTTTTGAGAGTCATCAATGAAATTTTGTTCATCTCCAGTGGAAATTGCAAAGTATTAGTTGATTTTTGATGACTGTCTTTTTTCTTTTCACCACCTACTGTGATGTCTGCATCCATTGTATTATCTGACCAAAGTTTTTGGTATAGTCAGCAGACCTACTAGCACAGCAGTTTGCTATATTTACCCCTATTCTGTCATGTCCAACTCTTTGTGAGCCCATGGACTGTAGCCCACCAGGCTCCTCCGTCCATGGAATTTTCTAGGCAAGAATACTGGAGTGGGTTGCCATTCCTTCTCCAGGGGATCTTCCCAACCCAGGGATCGAACCCAGGTCTCCTGCATTGCAGGCAGACGCTTTAAACTCTGAGCCACCAGGGAAGTCCAACTTTATAGTAGAACGACCAAATATGGTTCTCAAGTTTACATCTTTAGCAGACCTCTTTCTTGAACTCCA